CTTAAAAAACCGTCTTGTGATACTGAAAATGCTCGCCCGACTACTCCTGCTCCTGCTGCTGCTGCTGCTGCTGATGCTGCTGCTGCTGCTTCAGCTGCTGCTGCTGCTGCTGCTGCTGCTGCTGCGGCTGCTGCTGCTGCTGCTGCTGCAGCTGCTGCTGCTGCTGCTGCTGCTGCAGCTGCTGCTGCTGCTGCTGCTGCTGCAGCTGCTGCTGCTGCTGCTGCTGCTGCTGCTGCTGCTGCTGCTGCTGCTGCTGCTGCTGCTGCTCCTGCTGCTCCTGCTGCCGCTCGCTCCGTTCGAATTCTTCCTCAAAACTCTCTTCTGACGAACTCCAAGAGTTTCAATCAGGCTAGTCGCATTCCGATGTACAAAGGTTTTGCTGATCCCCGCTCTGTTGAAGAATTCCTTCGTCAGTGCAACCGCGAATTAATCGCTCAAGAGATTCCAACTCGCAAATGGGTTAAAAGCATCACGCCGTTGTTCACCAACGAAGTGATGGTGGTGATAGAACGCAAATATAAAAAGAGTCTCGAAGCAATCAACAGGCTCAAATGGGATGAATTTTCAACTCATCTTAGTTCATGTCTAGCCCCGATGCGGCAAGCCAAGAACTATCAGACTCAGCTTGATCAGCTCAAGCAGCAGCCCAACGAATCCGCCGGGCTGGGCGTACTTGACTCGCGCCACAAAACTCTTCGCCACACTCGAATCGCAAGTAGGTTGAGCTATCCTGTATTTCAACGATCAGCCACTCCGGAAATTCATCAAAGGATTTTCGCATACGCCGACGCGCACGTCTATCCACACATGGTTTACGATTTATCGCATTCAGTACGGACACGGAGAAGACATGTTGTCTCGTCTGGTCACTTTCATCACAGCTCTCCTCGACGATGGTGAACCGTTAACGTCTAAGCAGCCTAACAATCTAAGCAGCCTAACAATCCAAGAAGAAGTCCAACGGTAAAGAAAACCAGCGCAAGCCGAAGTCCGTCTGTTGTTTTTATTGTCAAGAACCGGGTCATATCAAGCCGGACTGCGAACAGTACAAGCGCCGCAAGTCGCCCTCCAGCAGGAGCGCCATGACCGGAAAAACTCATGGCGACCCAGCATAAACAGCATATTCAGCTTTTAGCTACTCTTCATGCAAAGAGAGGGGAGCCAGCCCTCTCTTACCAGGTTTCGTGCTGCCGCCTGATCGGAACGCGTCGTGCTCAACGGCCGCGTCCCTTCCTACGGGTCAACTCCATGTTTGCCCCTGCTTAGCCCTCAGCCGTAGCGGAGGCGTCGCTTCAGCTCGCCTTACTAGGTGACCCGATCTTATTCGGCTCCCCGTCAGCATCAGCTCTTCCCGAGTTCATGCTCACCAGACCGTCGCCCTGCTCGACCACGGCGCGACGATCATCATCATGTCTCAGCAGCTGTTTCGGCAGCTGGGACTCCCCGAGACTCTGCTCCAGCGTGATACTCAGTTCACCGGGCAAGTTGCGGACGATCATTAGGTGCAAACCCTCGGCTCCATCTCGCTCGCCTATCGCATCGGGCGCTTTTCTAGCAAAGATACGTTTCATATCTTGCCACATTGTTCTCAACCCCTGATCTTGTCTCTTTCAACTGTCACAACGCTGTGTACGTTCGGCGAACCCGCGAAGTGATCGTCGATTCCCCCAAAGCTCGACGCGCCCCTCCGCTTAGCTTCCGTCTCGCTCACCGATGCTGCCGCTCACGCTCTGCGCGTCGCCAATCCCAACGAGGAATGGTTCTTGTTGCACCTGCATGTCCCTACCGGCGACAGCTTCCGCCTCGGCGTCTATCGCCGATCCGCCAGCGGGCGCCCCTGCTCACCTTGCTCAAGCCCTCTCTGAGGAACTTCGCCCACGTCCTCGTCGACGATCTGCCGCAAGGCCTTCAGATCACCCGTCCCCCCCCGGGCCCAGTTTGACGCTCACATTCAGCTCAAGCCAGGGACCTTACCCATTAACTGCAGGCCATACCGCATCCTCCTTCATCTTGAAGGAGAACTCCAGGCTACCATCGCGTACATGCTCGAACACGACATCATCGAACCGTCAAATAGTGAGTTTGCCTTTCCAACGATCCACGCTCCCCAACTGATCCCAAAAGCTACCGCTTTTGCTGCGACCTTCATCGCTTAAACCAAGTCGTCTTGAATCAGCAGACCGCTGCAACTCCTCAGCAGACCGCTGCAACTCCTACCGTCGATGAGATGTTGGAAAAGATCGCCGACACCGTCCGTCAAGGCCAAGCCCGTCACAAAACCGATGAGCAGCTATGCATCACTACGCTTGATTGTTTCAAACGTTTTTGGCCAGTGTCCCTGATCGCCGATATCTCGCGTTCATCACACCGATTGGTCACTACCAATACAAGCGCCTACCATTTGCAAACAGCATATTCCAAGGATTCATCCAGCAGGTCCTTCATGATCTACCCCATACGTTTGCATACATCGACGACATCGTCTCAGGTCTTCCTCAAGAAAGAAAAAGCTCAATTCTTCCGTACCAGTGTTGACATCTCCGCGTGGTCGCTACCGACGACTACTACACAAGTCAAGATGTTTCTTGGACTAGCTTCCTATTATCGAAAGTTCATCCGCAACTTCTCGACAATAGCAGCCCCTCTGACTGACCTTCTCCGCAAGGGCGCTCAGTTTCAGTGGACTGCAGCATGAAGCAAGCTTTGACGTCTCAGCCCCTCCTGCATCACTTCGACCCGTCCCTTCCGACCGAAGTGCATTGCGACGCATCCAACGTGGGTATAGGAGGTGTACTCTTACAGCAGCTTCCCAACGCCCCCGCCCGCGTCATTGGCTACCACGCGACCGAACGAGAGTAACTTGCAATCAAGGATACCATCCTTTTCTTCAAGTTCTACTTGATAGGGACTCCATTCAAGGTCTTTACTGATCATCAAGCTCTCACGTATTTCCAGACACAGAAAGACATCAACAGCAGATTGATTCGTTGGCTTCAAACGCTCAGCGAGTTTGCAATCACCGAGTACTGTTACGTCAAAGGTTCTCAGAACGTCGTCCCCGACGCTAAGGCTCAGCCGTCAAGATGAAGTTCCCCTCTCGACTGCAGTCGCTCCTCATCACGAGCAACTCTCTCGCCAAGAGGACGGCTTCTTGCTCGCCTTCACCGTCAGCGCCTTGCAGCCTTTGCCCGACCAGATTCAAGCCGCCTATGAGACGTGCGACTTTTGTCGTCCTCTTATCCAACGTCTCCGCGCCAAGTCTTCTGTAACTTCTTTTCATCTGCATGATGAGCTTCTGTTTTATACAGATTCGTTGCGCCGCATTCGCCTGTGCATTCCGCAAGCATTGCGTCGAGAAGTTCTCTTTCGCGCCCACGACCTTCAGTCCCACCTCGGGTTTTCAAGAACCTACCTTCAGCTAGCAGCAACCGTTCATTGGCCCCAGCTTCGGAAAGACCTCGAGCTCTACATCCTGTCATGCCAGCATTGTCTTCAAGGGAAATCTTATCGCCAACGACCTATGGGTACTCCTCATTCCCATGCCGTTCCCTCGACACGCTTCGAAGTCGTCAGCCTCGACTTGCTGACCGGGCTCCCACGAACTCGAGATAAGAACGATGCAATTCTTCTTTTCATGGACGAGTTCACAGGGCGAGTTTATCTCACCCCCTGCCGTAAATCGATTACTTCTGAACAAGCTGCTCAAAAATTCATCGAAACCGTGTTTCGATCCCAAGGCCTTCTCAAGTCCTTATCAGCGACAACGCTGTCATCTTTTCGTCCAGATTCTGGAACGCGCTCAGGCTTCAAGATGCTCAACGTTCACGTGAAGCATTCGTCGCCTTTTATGCCTCAAAGCAACGGTCGACCCGAGCGTATGAACTCCGTCGTCCTCGAAGCTCTTCGTATCTACACCACGCAGTATCCTCGAGCCGATTGGGATAGGTACCTCCCCATCCTGGAAACTCACCTCGACTCAGCTGTTCGCCGTCCCATCGGTGCCATCCCTTTCGAAGTCATGTTCGGCAAACCTATCAGGACACAACTTTCTCTGCCTTCACCTGACGATCATCAGGACGAGACCCTCGACTCCATTCGTGAAGCAACCGAAGTCAGCGCCGAAGCTGCCCGAGCTGCTCTCGAAGCTGCAGCGCGTGCCACCGAAGCTCGCCTTGCGCAAGTCCGTCGTCCCTGCCGCTATCAAGTTGGAGATCTGGTTTGGCTCTCAACCGCCAACCTCAACATCCCCGACGCCGCCTCGAAGCTCAACCCTCGCTTCGTTGGTCCCTTCCGCATCCTGCCACCGGAAATTGTTTCAGACAACACCGTTCGTCTCGACGTCTCTCCTCGCTTCGCATCGATCAGAAACACCGTCATCAACATCAAGTGGCTTTGTCCGCATACAGAGCGCGACCCTGCCTATCAAGATCCCCAGCGACCACCCGAACCTCTGGCCACCAGAGACGGCTTGGAATACGAGATTGAGAGCATTCTCAGCAAACGTCGTCGCGGTCGAGGTATTCAGTACCTTGTTAAGTGGACAGGCTATGATCAAGTCAAACAATTGGCTTCCTGCTCGTGAATTGCAGCAGAAATCTTCGCGAACTCATCCGTCAATTCAAAGAACGTGAAGCTCTTCAAGCTTTACCCTCCAACGCCTTGGACTCCTCCGACTCGTCTGAAGTGGAACTTCAAATCCTGTCGTTCATCTCCTCATGGTAAGAGCGAAGGACAAAGTGGTACTAAGTTGTCAAGCGCAGATGGAGCGATGTTGTATCCATGAGGATCCGGAATCACGGATACTCGTCGGATACTCTGCCGGATATTCTCTATTTAACCGGACGCTTCCTGAGCGCCCGGCCTCTTGATTTTCCCCCACTTGCATGCACAGTGAGTGTGGTGGTTGTGCGTAGTTTACATCTCAGTAAACTTAGAGACTTCTATCTTCTGCATCTCTATCTTCTTCATCCTTACTTTGCTCGTGTCGTTGACAATCTCTGTGTTGTGTATACAACACTGCTGCTGCTGCTGCTGCTGCGGATTCCTGCCTTTCTCCCCTTCTCCTCCTTCCCGACCTCCTTGCCCTTCCTCCACGCCCTCTTCCTTCTCCGCCTCTCCCCCGATGACCTCTCCAGCTTGCTAGCCCCCCTGCAAACACGCGCGGCAGACAGGCCAGCTCTGCCGAGAGCGCAAACTCAAGTCGGACAAGTTGCAGCGGAGGAGGCGGAAGCTGAGGGCTCTGGGCGAGAGCTGCCTGGTTTGCTTATGTCTTTCCACTGGCCTTGTGTTCTTAAGGGTCAATATGAGCTGGGTCGAAGCTAGGTATCAAACACCCTCATCCCTGAGCATCTCAGTCGTGTAGCCATCATAAAGCAGGCGAGGCGATTATTCTTTATATATCTGCGGTATGTGGTGATAAACGTGGCATGGTAGCACCAATGAAGAAGAGCGTCAACCATGCCAAGCACCGACCTTGCTCTCAACCCTCGGATCCTCTAGATAGAGTGCTCTTCTCACTGACCAGGCATGCTCCTTGAGGAGATGCAAATCAACACCATACTCTGTTGTTCATGATCAACACCACCCAAGCGCGCCTCATTCACGGCATGCCCGCGGTCTTCTGCAGCTCCAGGCCCGCCCTCACACACTCACTGACAGCTCACATACGCCCGCCAGCAACCTCCGCCCCTGCTTGCCTGCTTGCCTGCTGCCCGCAAGCCACCGCACGCTCTCTCAGCGCACTACACCGGTGTCTGGGGCCTCCCCTCCCCTCCCCGAGACACCTCTCCTCGTCCTCCGCCGCTTTGTCCTCAGCTTGTCCGCATCGGCACGTCGAAACACGCCCAGGCTATACCAAGAAGCCCTCCGCTATCTCGGTCAGCTCCACGCTTCCCTCTATCCAGCCGCTGGCTTGCCCCCTCGCATCCGTCGTCGCCTCGGCCCTCGGCTTCCGCCCCCTCCGCTGACCTGCCTGACTCTCACAGTCCGTCCTGAAGTGCACGCACTGCCCGCATGGCCGACGCTCGTCGCACTTGAGCTTCCGCTGCCGGCAGAGCTGACAGGCCTCCCGCGCGTACCTCCCCTTCCCCCGCGCCCCCGCCCTCCCGGCCTCGCCCTCGGCCTTGCCGGCTGCGACGGCGTCGGCGAAGGACAAGGAGGGAGGCTGCTTGTCGTCGTCGGGCCAGGAGGTGAGCTGGTCCCAGAGGGGCATGGCGGGGAGGTCGGGGGAGTCGAGGGGGTCGAGGAGGTCGAGGTCGGGGGCGAGGTAGACGGAGAGGTCGTCGGGGGAGAGGCGGAGGAGGGAGAGGGCGTGGAGGAAGGGGGGCGGAGGATGAGGGCCGTGAGAGGGAAGGGGACTAGCTGGAGGGTTTGGAATCATCTGTATCAGACTGTGTATCGCTTGGCGGGTGTGTCGGAGAAGCTGGTTCACACAGCAAGGAGGGAGCGATCTTTTACGCTCGAGGAGCTCCAGGTAGTGGCAGCCGCAGAGGCAAAGATTTTAGTTGTCCGGGGCAGTGAAGGGTAGGTGGGGTGGGAGAGGGGTGGTAGCTAACAGGTTTTCGTAGGCTTCTATGGGCCCTATATGCCCCTGGTCCTAGGGGGCTTGGCTTGTAAAGTCACCTACAAGGTTTCAAAAGATTTTCATTGGCGGTCACTCAAATATAAGTCATTTTAATTTGAGTTTGAAACGACGCGTTCGGGTTCCCCAGATTTTGCTTTTCGAATGGGCAGGCACTACACTGAAATATACTATTCGCTCAATCGAAAAAAAAGTGGTGTAGTGTAGGGAGGGTACGTGCTGGGAGCATCAGGATGAAAGGGCAGGGGACCCCACCCCCAATCAATAGCTGAAAGAGAGTGATATCAAGAAAGTCACCGATTTTACAACACAACCGCACCGAAAGTTTACTCGCCTAGGTACTTCCCTATGACCTGAGTCAGTCAGCAGAGCAGGTCCTAGGGAATTATCACAAATAATTGTCCTCGTACTGATTTTTAACTTAACTTTGAGTAAAGGCTGTGCACGCATGTGAATTTTAAAAATCGCCCGCGTCACAATGTCCGACAACGAACCTTCGCGATCATCGTCCTCGCATGATGCTGAGAGTATGTCATCTTGCAAGTCTTCAGCCACGAAGCGATTTCTTCTTACAGATTTGTCGTCGGATTCGAAACGGGCATACATGGAAGAACAAAGGCAGAAGAAAGTGAGACGTTCCAAGGCGTGGCGTGATGCGAACAAGCAATCATCTCAACTTGCAGAGACGCCGCCCTCACCCACCTGAAATTTGATATCGGAACTGGACAGCAAGCCAATGATCCTCAATATGGACCATGAAACAAATACTCGGTGGGACAGGAAAACCGATGGTGTGCGTTTGGTGCATTTATTGCTGAAACCACCGCCTGAAATGGTTGGTTCTCTTGAAAAGATGTTCACAAAATCGACATGGCAACAACTTACCCTTCGGCAGAACAACCGACAAGATAATTTCACGAAGGAAAGTGCTGTGTTTCGTGATCCCTTGTGGTGTCCTGGTTTAGGCTTCGATGATGCTTTCCTTCGCGAGATGGGAGCAACCCCGCGTCATCCCAACCTTTCTGTTACACCTCTAGTACTCAGCAAAAAGTTCAGTGAACTCAAGACCTATATCAACGATGTTCTTCGCAGACGCAAGTCAGTTGACAATCACGATGACATGTATGAGCTTTGCGTAGTTGAACATGTTCCTTCCATTCCTGAAGTATACTCCTATCTCAGAATGGTAGAATACTGTGATCTTGAAGGAACCAACGACATCATATTGGATACATTGCGAGAAGAAGCATTGGTTGACTATGGACCTTCGAACGACATGGATTTGACAAGAACGCCATTGAACAACATGCAATCGAAGAAATCGAAACCTCACAATTCACTGTCATCATCGCAGAATTCCCAAATGCATGTGGATAACCTTGACAAGGATGTACAAACCATTCTAGATGACTTCAAGCAGATTGTGACGAAATTGAAGAGTGGCGCTGACAAGCTGAATGCTATTCAAATCGATTGAAGTCTGCTCTATTACGTGATCTCTCGCTCTGTAACATGATCTCTTCTGGACTGCACGGAGTTCACGTCGGCTTCGATGAAGTGCATATCAGTGGTTTTATGAAAGCTTATGAGTATGTTTCATCCTTCTGACATACGAGTAAATAAAAGAGAACGTATCGATTTCATATCAGCACATTCTTCCAACTCTTCGACCCTGGCACGACTCTCTCAGTTGTGGCAGATCAATACACGATGGCCGCATGTCATTCGTAATTCGATCAGCAGAATTTTCCATGATAGATTCTGGTCCAACATCTTCACCGATTACATGGTTGTCTGACGCACTGAATTCCAGACAAAGATTATGCAAGACTGCACATGCGGCTAATATCCTTGTTGTGTTTACAAGGCGACACCGGATCGGTCTCCACAAGATGCCAAAACGATTACAAGTAATCCCCAGGTACATTCAGTTTTAGGCTGCAATCCGCTGAACCGCAAATTGAAGTTCTCATGCGCCTGTGACATTGAATTTGGGTTCTTCAGATCGAAAGGAGTCAACATTCGATTACAACTTTTGTATGCAGCATCAGCCATGATGTAAAACGGCTTAGGTAAACGACCTCCATCAATCAACTTGCACAAGTTTGATTGTTTCCAAGCGAAAGAATCATGTGATGAACCCGGCGTTCGAAGAGAAATGTATAAAATCTTCATGTGGCTGTCACAAACTCCTTGCATATTAGTGCGTACATGGCTTTTCTGCAGTATTACCTGGTTGGGCAAGATATCTCCGCCAATGACAAGAAAAAATTCACATCTTGACCTCTCTCTATTCGCTAACAACACTAAAAAGACATACAGCGCAAGGAGTGACCCTTAGAATGCTGGGCCTTCACCCTCTCAACGAGAGTCGGATTTCTTTCTCATTGATTGAGATGTATTGATCATTCCCTGCTCCATAAAGCTGCTGCGCCACCTGTAGCGCACGTTCGAGGATCAGGAGAACCTGGAATCTTATCTAAGTATGCGAGCCTGCTCGTCGACTATCCTCATTGTCCGTGAATGTTCACTGTCACACTGTAGGACTGTCAGTATAGGGCTCAGCAGTGTTGCCCTGTCGGACTGTAGTAACGTGTCCTAAGGCTCTCGAAGCTCTTCGCTGAGTTCCGAAGTTCAGCACTTTCACTGACACGTCTTGTCGAGCCCCAGGTTGCATGACATTCAAATGTTCCGGCTGACAGGCATGAAATCGTCAGTGAGCTCTCGGGCAACTCCTTGCGAATAATTTTCCGATGGTTGACTGAAACTTGTTTCAGGCGGTCATTCCCCACCCCTCAATCTCCCCCACCCTCCACCCCTCCCTTTAGGATCCGAGGCTTCCCTTTACAGAACCTCCAGTGCGCGCGATCGGACAACACCACTGAGCTCCCTCATGTCTGCCACAAGCCTCCTCCTCCTCCCTCCGCCCTCCCACAACCTCCAAAGCGCCCTCTCCCTCCTCCGCCTCTCCCCCGATGACCTCTCCGTCTACCTCGCCCCCGACCTCGACCTCCTCGACCCCCTCAACTCCCCCGACCTCCCCGCCATGCCCCTCTGGGACCAGCTCACCTCCTGGCCCGACAACGACAAGCAGCAACCCGACCAGCTCCTGACCCCCTTGTCCTTCGCCGACGCCGTCGCAGCCGGAAAGGGCGAGGGCGAGGGCGAGGCCGGGAGGGCGGGGGCGCGGGGGAAGGGGAGGTACGCGCGGGAGGCTTGTCAGTTCTGCCGGCAGCGGAAGCTCAAGTGCGACGAGCGTCGGCCATGCGGGCAGTGTGTGCACTTCAGGAAGGAGTGTGTGAGTCAGGCAGGGCAGCAGAGGGGGCGGAAGCCGAGGAGACGGGTGGGGACAAAAGTCACTGTGGGGATAAGGAGCGATGAATTTGAAGACGTTGAAACCTGGGAGGTAGCAAAGAGCTTCTTGGTTTGAGTTGACCAGTCACCATCGTGTGCGTCTTGGGGTGTCAGGTCTTGCAAGAGGAGGGCGGAGATCAACATACAAATCAAGGTTTACCTGTGGTACAGAAATGAACCGAGATGGAATGATGAAGTGTGAGACTGTATCAAAGTTTAGCAGACAAACATACATGATGAAAACACATATGGTAAAGGATTGGACAGCTGATTGACGGCCGAATATCTAGCCAAGTATCCCTGTTGTTTGGACCTGTGGTTGGATACAATAATCGACTGCTTGCTGCCTCAACATCACCATCTCCATCATCATTGTCCCATTTGTCATCCACATCATCATCATCTCCTTCATTCCTTTACCATCATCGTCGTCATAATCATTCTTATCATCATAATCGTCTCCATCATCATTCTCACAACCATCATTATCACCAACACCACCATCGTAATTATCATCATTTCAACTGGACTTCATCATTATCATCATAATCGTGTCCATCATTATTCCATCTTCATCATTATCATCGGACGAATATAATCTCCATCATCATTATAACCAGCATCACCACCACCACCACCACAATTATTTCATCACCATCATCATTTTCATGATGACCACCATCATCACCAGCAGCAGCACAATTATTTCATCTCGATCATCATTTTCATGATGACCACCATCATCACCATACTCATCATCGCCGCCATCATCGTCATCATGCTTGATAGCCTAGCAGCCGAACTCCATCACTCAACAACGCAGTGATAACCACCACCTGGCGATTGATCATAGCAGGTCAGAGTTCAATGCACGGTTGATGAATCTTACCACGTGGATTCGGGAGTCCGTGATCGACCATGGCCAGTGCCCGTCACGGTTCAACTTAGATCAGACTCTGCGAAGTTGTCAGCAAACTGACGAGGGTCCCGTTGGAGGGGACTTGTTCCTGATCAGAGGATTCAGTACTAGCTAATTCCTTAGCTAAATTGATGTCAGCGTTAACGTCTTGAAGGGTGACTTTCCCTGGCGGAGGACGCCTGTGCTCAATTCCATCATCTTTGGAGTTCGCAGTCGCTGCTAAGGTGGCGAGCAGGTGAGAACGCTCTTGATGCAAGGAGTCGGCCAGAAGAATGGGACCGCACATGCGATGGAATAGCTGGAGAGCTTGGTCCGTCGTCACTCGCGAGAACATGTTGGGACTGGAAAAAACAATTTTCGAGCTTGGTAGAGGTACAACGCTGAGTTGCCTCTTCTGATCTCCGATCAAGATACTCCGCAAGGGACATCTCTCTTGTTTCGGGCCCGATGATCCGCGTTCACGATGTACGTTTCTATCCCTAGAAGTTGGAGTCGACAATCTACATGTCTGACTACTGCCGCCCCCGCCTCTGCTCAGTACTACTCGGCGTCCGCTCCTCTCAACCTCCTCCTCAGATCTCTCTTCAGTACTACTTCAGAATTAAATGCTCCTGATTCCCCTGAGCCCGAAGTACTACCGTAGATTGAGGGCCCCTTTCCGGCTGAGGGTTCTTTTCTCACCTCAGTTCCACCTCGCCAGTCGCTTCTAGAATGAATGATGATATCAGGCTAAACGCAGAGAGTCTAAGCCACATAAACACCAGCTTTGCTGCGCACACCGTGGCACACTGAGGGGAGGGCCCAGCCTGGACTCGAGGTACTACCGATGATCCATGGAAGTATCAATACTAAGCAATCGTGCCTCAGTGTAGTCGGAAACCTTCATGACCACGTCCGATCCTGCCCTGCGAACCCGGCCGGGCGTCCGACTAGTAGGCCGGGCCCGGCGGCGGTGCCAGGGGGCCAGTGCGGCCGCCGGCCCGGTCCGAGGCAGCACTGCGGCACGCGGCCGGACCAGCGGCCCGCCCATGGCGGGCCGGTGCCCCTGAGTATACAACGTTTTATGATTAAAACTTGTTATTAAAAGGTCCTTATAAAGATTAAACAATAAATATTTTACTTTGTACGAGAGTTTTATATCGATAGATTCAAATCATTTTTCATGTTCCGGTTTATCGCAAAGTTTCAAAACAAATAACAATATTTCATGAATTTGAAACTGAAATATATTTTTATTATTAAGAACATACAAATAATTGTCTTTGCTCCCACCAGTCATTGATATACCCCTACCCCCTTCATTATAAACATTTCTTTTTGATATCGTCTTGCTTGGAGATTTATCTCTATTTGATCATGGCCCAGGGCTAAAGTGTCTCACTCATGGCAGGAGGTACTACCCCTACCCTGTCAAAATGTACCCCAACCCCCTTATAAAAAGAAACACCACGAGGATGCGGCGGGGGGGAGGGCAGGAGGGCAGTGCAGAGGAAACCGTCTTCCGCAGAGGAGAGGATGGCGAAGCAGATGAGATGCGAAGATGTTAGCGAGAGAAGAGGGAGAGAAAGACTAAGTTTGAGCATGAAGTTGATGGGGAGGTTTTGATACATTAGATAGAGCATGCACCAAACAATTAGTGCGGTGGGATTTTCAATAGAAGCCAAGGTCTGGCGGCCCGCAATCGAAAGTCCCTGGACAGGGGTGTGTGTCTATCATGGACGTTCTTGTAAGATGCAGATATTGTGATAGTACTTGATGAATCCGATTGAGCCCATCACAATGTCATAGTCTTAGGGTATTCTGAAACACAGATCCGGAAGTGAGTGTACTAGTGTGGTCGAGCCAGAGTTGTCTATATTTTCAGGAATTCACTAGAAATTTGAGAAACTTTCTTCTGACACCAACGATATGAGCGTTGGAAAGTACATACACTTTTTGCTGGTTCTGATATTTCATACAAGATCGAAGGGATATATGAACAGACTCTGAACCAACCTGCCTAAGTTCGAGACCCGTGCGATAAGAGAGTACTGATCAAGGACAGCGCCAGCTACAAACTTCTCTTCAGCATGCCATCCTTTGATTTCTTGGTTGTGATGGATTTCCAAGTGACGCGTGGGGGAGATGTTGACATTGACGGGGTTCACGAGATCATTGAATTTGCCTGGTTGATGGTGGATGTGAATAGCAAGGTCGTGACGGAATCGAAGCAGACTTACGTGAAGCCAGAAATGCATCCTGTGCTCTCGGAAGGATGCGTATCCCTCACTGGGATCAGCCAAGAGATCGTTGACGGGGGATGCAAGCTGCAGGACTGCGTGTCGGAATTCAACGACTTTGTTTACAAGAACATCACTTCGCAGAACAAGGACTTCTGCATCGTGACGGACGGTGATGTGCATCTGAAACGTTGGTTGCGATCCGATGCGAAAAGGAAGAACATAAAGCTCGCCGCGCATTACGCCCGCTACGTCGACCTGCGCTCGGAGTTCATCAACCTGCACCCCAACTTTGCCGGGGCCATGAACGCGATCTCGATAGCAGATCGACTCAATGTGTATATTCCGGAAGAAGTGGACGGTGGATTGAAGATGTGTGACATCATCGGGCAAGTTGTGATCAAGATGCTCCTGGGCGGAGCTCCGATGCAGAAGACCATCACCATTCCTGATGAGTACGACCCGACAGCTGACCCCTTGTACGCGATCGGAGGGGCGAAGTACATGGAGATTTCACGAGCATTGGACTCGAGAGAGCCAGCGCTATCGATGATTGCTAGGGTGAGAGGTCTGCCATACTCCGCGGCTACCGCGGACATCGAAGAGTTCTTCAAAGGCTGTGCGATTTTGAAGGATGGGATTAACTTTGTCCTGAGCCATGGTGGGCGCCCGGCAGGAGAGGCGTTCGTGACGTTCGAGACTGAGAATGACTGCAGACGTGCGCTGATGAGAGACAGGGACCTGATGAACAAGAGATATGTGGAGGTGTACCCCAGTAGCGAAGATGAAAAGCACGTTGCTATCACGAGTGCGGTCTCCTACGCCCAGGACGATCAGAGCAGCGGGGGAGACCCTTCGACTAGTTACAAGGGAGTGGTGAAGTTGCGAGGACTGCCATACTCCATCACGGCTGACGACATCCGGAGCTTCTTTGGGCACTTGAGCATCAAGGAGGACGGGATAATCATCTGCCTGAATCGCGAGAGGAGGAACAACGGCGAGGCCTTTGTGGAGTTCACGGACGAGTACGTTGTGGACGAAGCTGTAAAGAAAGACCGGCAGATGATTGGCAGCAGATACGTGGAGGTATTCCGCTCTTCTAAAGCGGACATCGACGCGTATCACAAGGAGAAGGAGGCCGGGCCCTCGTCGCAGAGGTACACCATGTCAGCCAACGGAGAGTTCTTCCTGAAGATGCGAGGGCTGCCCTTCTCGATCAGAGAGCCTCAGCTCATGGAGTTCTTCCAAAAGGCCGACGTCACTCCCATCGGGATCTGCCTTGTGTACAATAGTCGAGATTATCCCACCGGGGAGGCCTTCGTCGAGTTTGCCACTGGGCAGGACTTGATGGTGGGTTGACCTGCTCCTCTCCTCCTGCGATCTGACCTTTCCCAACAGAAAGGGCTGACGTTGCATCGAGAGAATATTGGTCACCGCTACGTGGAGCTGTTCAGGACGACAAGAACAGCTGCTATGTACGCGCTTCGCATGCCCTTCTATCCTCCTGGCCCCCCTGCTCCTCCTCCTGCTATGATGAGTCACGCGCCATACTACGATCTTGGAGGCTATGATATGCCACAGGTAGGCCAACACTTGTGTCGCACTCTTGCTCCCTTGTGTTCAGTTTTCTCCCTCCCCTCCTCCTCGATCTCTCATCCTCCCCCCGCTCTGTCTCCCGCTCTCTCTCCCTCCCTCTCCCCCCCCCCCCTCTCTCCCTTCCTTCCTCCCTCTCCCTTGCAATATCTACATTCACAGTCTCCTATTTCTCCTCCTCTCCTTCCCTATCTCACTCTTTCCTCTTGCTTCACAGGCCATGCCGCCGATGCCGCATGCGATGGGAATGCATGCTCCTTACAATCCCATGGGTATGGACCCGACGGGAATGCAGGGGATGATGGGGATGGACATGAGCGGCATGGCCATGGCTGGCATGCCGGCGATGAACGGGTACATGACTGGGATGCCCTCAAACGCGGGCTGCGTCAAGATCCGAGGGCTCCCTTACCGAGCGACAGTCAACGACATCGCCGACTTCTTCAACGGGTTTGCCTTCAACCGAGAGACGATTCAGATCAGCATGGGGTACGACGGGCGGTCGACGGGAGAAGGTTGGATTACGTTTGACACGCCGGAGGAAGCGAGTCGGGCAGTCTCGATGAGGAACGGGCAGAACATTGGGAACCGGTACGTGGAGCTTTACATGGTCTGATTCAGCTGGTGGCTAGCTGGAGCAGGAAGGTGGGAGGGACTGCAAGGCGAGGGGGATGAAGGGTGAAGGAGGGAGGTGAGGGGAAGATGAGTCGACGGAGCCTGGCGCACAAAAGCATGGCAACAAGGTAGTCAAAAAAAACTGACAAGATGAAGTTCATAAATATATTCATTACGACAACAAGAGTTAGGCATGTACATGCGTTATCATTGCAACATACAGCTTTCAAGGAAAACTTGCAGTATCTGTACATCTTTGCTCATTTGAGGTGGTCAAGGACGATTTCATTACTCCTCACACTTCGAGAATGTTGCAACCAAATGCGTTGGACTTCCAACTACATACCTGCCCGCCTGCCGGCATCTGCCGCTGGTTCTAGCATTGTCCATCCTGTTCCCCCGGGTCTTCTGTCTCCATCTCCCTCATCCCTCCCTCTCTGTCTCTCTCCTTCTACCATTATCTGTCCCTAGCACGTTCCGTTTCCTCCACTGCTCTTGTAGTCGTCTAGATTTCTCTGTCATCTCTCCCATCTTTTCAACTCTTGACCCCTCTCCTTCTTCCGTACCTTTCTCTGCTCATTCGCTGACCCAGCTCTCTCCCTTACACCTTTCCCCCCTATCTCTCCTGTTCGCGTCTGCTACAATTCCCTCCTCCCTCTTCCTCCTCCCTCTCTCTCTCCCCTCCCTTCTCTCCCCTCCCCGCTCGTACACCCCTCCTCCTTCCTTCATCCTCTCTTTCCCCTTCACCCTTCCCCTCCCTCCCTCCTCCTACCCTCTCCACTTCCTTCTCTCCTCCACTTTCCTGCCATCCTCCTCCTCCTCCTCCTCCTCCTCCTCCTCCTCCTCCTTCTCCCACCCTCCTGCTCCCCCCCACTTGGTTCGGCCCTCCACCTTTCCCACGTGTTCCACCCCTACCCCCTGAGATTCCATCCTTTCTACTAACCAAGGTAGGGTACTTGAGACTCGAACAACAACACCCACCCTCCATATGAAAGAGTTTCTTGGGGGATTAGGGGGGTACTGAAGGGATACATTCCTTTTTTTTTCTTTCTTTAGTCAGGAGGCTCCCTCCTACCCTCCTGCTGCCTGGGAGGCGGGGGGGTACTTGGGGGTTTCATAAACGGCATGGAGCACAAGGGCAGCAAGCTCTCATAGCGCAGTTGGTAGCGCGTCGCTCTGATAAGGCGAAGGTCATCGGTTCGAGCCCGGTTGAGAGCACGCGGAGCTTAATCTTTTGCTCTCGTACATTTCAGTTGGAACCGGATTGAACCATCTACCCAAGTGAGTTATGTAACTTGCGGCCTTCGGGCCAGAATTCAGTTTTGTCCCTCCGTCACGGTCCGAGTTTCCACCCTCCGGCATTCGGGCCCCGGCCGGACTGTACGGTCAGCCACTCACTACCCTCAGAGATGACTCAGGCTTGGAGTGCGCTTTCAAGGGCCCGTGACTTTTCAGTCAACCCTGAGTAGCAACAAGACTTTACATATGAACACGTCCAAGACTAGCTTGCCTCCCTTGCCTCTCCCGCTTACTGTACACTCAAACAATGTGACCCCCTCCGAGTCTCGCGGCTGCCCGGCCCACCGCTCTCCTCCTCTTCCTCACTGACTCTCCTCAGCAGCTGCACTTTCCTCCTCCTCTGCCTTGAGCGCGTCATCCTCTCCCTCGTTCAGCAGCAGCGCGTTGCTCTCAGTCCTACCAGACAGTCAAGCAGGCAGGTCAAGTCAGCGCTAGGTACCTCTTGTGCCGGCTCTTCCTGGCCGAGGAGAGAGGAGAGGCTTCTGCTCGAGTGTCAGAGACAAGGGAAGGGCAGTCGAGTGAGGGAGAGGAGAGGAAGGGCCGAAGGGCGGAATGGGGGGGGGGGGGTGGGGGGGGAAGGCAAGAGGGGTGAAGGGGAGAGAGGACAAGGGTGAGGGAGAGAGGAGGGGTGGGGTGGAGGAGGGGAGGGACGGAGGGAGGCAGGGAGGAAGAGAGAGGAAAAGGGGGAAAACCTGGACTCAATGAAAGTCCTCGTGAGAAGGAGTTCCTTCTCGGAAGGAAACGAGCACTCCTGGAGGAGAAACTTCAGGGATGGGGCGGGAGGGGCAGGAAGGGGAGCAGGAGGAGCAGGAGGACAGGAGGAGCAGGAGGACAGGAGGAGCAGGAGGACAGGAGGAGCAGGAGAAAGAAAGGGGGGAAAGGAGGAAGGGGCACAAGGGCAGGAGCAAGGCGACACCTTGGAGACTCTGAATACTTGAGGTCGGCATCCCCAGATGCATGTGGGGACCTGAGCAGAAGGTGAGGAAAGCAAAGTGGAAGGGTGGAGGGTGAAGAGAGCCAGGGAGCAGCAGAGGGAGCGGGAGGAGAGGAGAAGTAGAGGGATGGAAGAGGAGGGGGAGAAGGAGACGAGAGATGGTGGAGGGGAAAAGGGACGGTGAAGGAGGGGGGAGGGGAACAGAGGAGGGGAACAGAGGAGGGGAACAGAGGAGGGGAACAGAGGAGGAGAAGGGAGGAAGAGAAGGGAGGGGAAGCAGGAGGATGACTGACTTTTCTCTGTACCCCGGGATCGGGGAGGACGGGGCAGTCTTGTAGGCTCTTTCGCCATTGAACGGCTTCAGGAGGCTCTCTGCGGAGGAGAGGGACTGCGCGCTGACTGAAGCATGCAAGGAAGGGATGAGCGACTCCTGGTCAGGTCGACGAGGATGCTGAGAAGGAGGGAGGGGCAGCGGAGACGGAGGGAGAGGAAGAAGAGGGAATGAGAGGAGGAGGACGAGGACGAGGACGAGGAGGACCAGGACCGGGACCAGGACCAGGACGAGGAGGAGGAAGGGAAATTGGGAGAGAGAGGGAGGAACAAGTCAGCAACGACAACCTCAGCAGTCTCCTTCTTCTAATCTCACCTGATCCAACCTTGCTGCTTTCTTCCTTGAGCCAATCTTGATAGGAGGAGACAGAGTGTTGGCACATTCAACTCCCTCCAGCTTCTTCTCTGCCCCTTGCTGACTGTCCCCTGCACCGCCGTCAACACTTGTCCCCCCTCCCGCTGCTCCCCGACCTGACTCTCTTCCTCTGCTCTCGGTCTCGGACTTGTCCAGCTGCGCGCTGGAGCTTTCTGGATCGTCCGAGCTGAACTCCAGCCTTCTTGACCTCCCTCCTCGCTCATCTCGCCCTGTCACTCCCCATCACTTGCCCAGCAGGGGAGCATGAAGACAACCTGTCAAGTGCGGATCGCTGGAGGCCCGGACGGAGCAGTACGTCAACTTCGTTTCCTCCTCCTCTCCCTCCTGCGGGGAGGTACCCCTGCGATGTCTTGAGACGAAGAGTGAGGAGCGAGGAGGCGCGGGGGCGGAGAGAGGAAGGGAAGGGAAGGGAGGGAGGCAGGCAGGGAGGGAGGGAGGGAGGCAGGCAGGCAGGCAGGGATGGAGGCAGGCAGGCAGGCAGGGATGGAGGCAGGCAGGCAGGCAGGCAGGGAGGGAGGGAGGGAGGGAGGGAGGGAGGGAGGCAGGGATGGATGGAGGGAGGCAGGCAGGGAGAGAGGGAGGCAGGCAGGCAGGGAGGGAGGGAGGCAGGGAGGGAGGCAGGGAGGGAGGCAGGGAGGGAGGCAGGGAGGGAGGGAGGGAGGGAGGGAGGGAGGGAGGGAAACAAAGCAAAGACTCACCTCTCCTCATTCTTCTCCCCTCTTTCCTCCTCTCCGTTCTCCTGCCCCTCCTCCTCTCTCTCTCCCACATCCTCCGACTCGACGACCACAATCGTCACCTCCCCCGCCCCCTTGCTCAGAGTGTCCGCGTGCCTCGTGTGACCGTTGAGGCAAGGGCGAGCCTCCTCCTGCCTGCTTCCTTCCTCCAACCTGCTCCATCCTCGTCAGCAGAGCGGCGAGAGGTAGCATGCGCATTACCCGTCAGAGGGGAGGACATCGATGAGGACGCACTGCTTGATCTGGCAACGGCACATGGGGCAGGGCTGGTGCCGCACGATGACCTACAAGCATAACCATGAGCACTGATTCATCCTATTCCCTCCCCGTTTCCTTGATCCCTCCCTCTTCTCTTTCTTCCTTCCTCATCCTCCTTCCCCTCCTCGTATCCTCCCATTGTTTTCTCTCTCCCCCTCTTCGTCTTCATCCTTGCTCGTTCCTTTGAACTGGTCGAATCCGATCCATCGTCCTCAACCTCCTCACTGCAGCCCTGATCCCCAGTACACGTCTCATCCTTCCACTTTGCTTCCCCTGCCTCCTGCCTCCTGCCTCCTAGTCGTTGTCTTTCACCTGTCGAGCGCAGTCGAAGCAGCAGCATGCATGGCCGCACTCGAGGAAAACCGTCTCGCTCTTTTGCTCCCAACAGATGATGCATGGGTGACCCTCGGGAGGGGAAGCGTCCTCCAACCTCTTGGTTGGTACATACCCCTCCCTGCAGCACAGCTCCTCCTCGTCAAAGGTCTCGTTCTGAGAGGAACTTGGTCAACATAACATCTGCTCGCAAACTTGTCGTTTCATCACCTCGAAGGGCCGACGGTAGAGATCATCTCCAATCTGAATGAGGATCTGAAACAACCCACCGTCGTCATTTCATGCGGCACCTCTTCTCCTGTCCTGTCCTGTCCTGTCCTGTCCTGTCCTGTCCTGTCCTGTCCTGTCCTGTCCTGTCCCCGCTCCCCGCTCCACTTCTCTGCTCTCTTGTCTTTTCGTCGTTTTGCTTATACTCATCTCATGTCTTCTCTTCTCTTCTCTTCTCTCTGCTCCTCTCCTCTCCTCTTCTCTCTTCTCGCACCTTCGGCTTCTCCCCATCAAAAGCCGTGGCAGCCTCCTCCAAGTTCTCCATCTCCGCCATTCGCTCGATCTCGTTGTTGTTGGACAACTGCGTGCCCAGTCGATTGATCTGACAAACAGTTATTACAAAGAGACGGCAGGCCATGGAAGAAGAAACAAACACAACTCCAAGACAAAAAATCAAAACAACTGACCACTTCCTCGGAGAAGAAAACAACCCAGATCTCTATCACACAGAAATAGGCGAACATGACGATGAGCGGAGCGATGAAGGCCTGAAGCAAGTCAGCCAGACAGCTGGGGAGGCGGACGAAGGAGTCGTGGTACTGACGTATGCTGAAGAGGAATCCCCCTCCAAGTAGTTCGCCAGGTGCACCAGTGCTATCGAGGTGCAGATCGCAGCAAAGATCGCAAACGACCAGATCGCCTGGGGAGAGGGTGAGCAAGAGCAACTGGTGGAGTCTTCCACGTACAACGAGCAAGACGGGATGGGCGTAAGTGCGAAGGTTGACGTATCTGCCATGGTTCAACAGCTTCATGCAAGCCATGCATGGCAACAGTATGGACAACAACAGAGCCACTCCACAGAAGATTCCTGATAACAAGTTCACAGATCTCCCCACCTCCTCCTCGCGGAAGTTGGTACCTGTTGCTAGCCACACAGGCCAGAAGACTGCCGACCAGGTCCATTCCAAGACTCCGTCAAGCTTCAAGGAGATGAAGAGAGTGCACAGGAGCTGGAGCTCTATCACCGACGATTGCTTCTTGAAGTCCCGAGCACTCATTGCATCGTTGAGATTCTTGATTGCCGTGTGCAGGATGATCAACATCACAACCAGCTGCAGCCAGACCGGAGACGCGATCACTCTGTACCACCAGTCGATCACTCCGTCAAGTCTCAGCGAGAAGAGGATGAAGAACAGGGCTCGCAAGAGCCCGTTGCAGCAGTCGTTCTTGGCCATGATCCTCTTATACACAACGTTCACCAGCGTCGCCCTCTCTCTCTGGGACAGCAAGATCATCGCCGGGATGATGGAGAAGATCTGCTGCACAATGAGAGGAACGAAAACGCCGAGGAACGTGATGGGATCGTTCTCGCATCTCGCGCGCCGGTAGCAAGGGTTGTCTTTCAATTTCACCAAGAGGAGGACAGAGAACGCGAGGAAGAACGGCATCTTCAGCTGCAGCATCTTCTCGATCTTAGGGTACATCGCGTGAATATCCGGCATCATTCCAATGGGCAACCTCCCAGCAATCCACGTGGCAGCGCCAAGCTCAAAGAGTCTGCTGTTCGACGTCCAGGGCTACATGATTGCTGTTGGAGATGTTGTCTTGCTTATGAGTCCATGGGCTCTCTTGCGCATCATCGTTCACTGGCGAGTCTCACGCATATCTGCCAGGAGGAGATGTTCAGAGATGGAGTCAACATCTACCATCGTGGGTTGACATCATGCAGGGCAGCTGAGCACTAAAGAGAATAAACCAACAAGGGCATTTAGATGTACGCAAGAAGCAGCGCGAGATGGAGAAAAGAAATGTCTGACTATCGATGGTACGAGCATCATATTCAAGTGCATGCAGAGACTTGCGTAAGCACATCACATGCATACAGGCGTGTCCAAAGAGAGACTTTGCAGAGGACAAGGAGGAACCTCTATCGACCCTTTCGCCCCCTCGTATGGGGAGGAAGGACAGGGGGGCATGAGAAACAAAGTGGGATTGAAGAGACAAGACATGATGAGAAGAATAACCATCATATCATAAATGAGGGCATAGCCAAACTCGACCCGACCAAGAGGTCATCATTGCTCTAGGAGGGAGATGGATAGTCAGGTGCGCATTGATTGCGGAAGGCGAGTGGAAGACAAGACATGGATCATGAGGCGAAGATCAGAGCAAGAGCATGATGTGTGTCTTTTGACTTTCTCTCCACCATCGCCCCTGCATCGCGAGCTGAATGCAAACGAAAGCGCATCAGGACATATCGACATCGCAAGCCGGGGCTGGAAAGAAGCACCAGAGGAGGTGGGGTTATCTTTCATAGGTGCATAGGGGTACTCGTTGACATGGAGGGTTGCTATGGAATAAGGGGGTAGGGGTACGAGAAAGTTGTTCTGCCAACGGGTAGGGTACGACTCGACGAAACGAAATTCCATATCAAGGGTGGGTACTTTACTATGGGTAGGGCGGTGAATTTGGTGGGGTATGGAAATTCCATAACATCACCGGTGGTGTACGGAAAAACATTTTTGAAGAACAAATCAGGGGTGGATGTGCAAAAGGTCACTTTAGACCGGTCCTTTTCCCTCAAAAATTGTGAAGCACCGGGTCATGATAGGCAACAAAATCAATTAAAACAAGGGGTACTTGTAAAAATCTGATGGTACTACCGGTACTATTTCTATTTCTCGGATCTTCAGAAAGGTAGGGTCAGTCGAATACGACTAGTATCAAAGGGGGGTGGGTGTAATGTCTTGTGAAAGGGGGTGGTAAAACTTGAGTATGGACAAGGGTGGGGTACACCATGTGAGGCAGGGTGAAGGGGTCCAATCATCAGCTTTAACATGCTGGCACTGACTGACAATCCGGCCTTGAACCGGCGGCGGCCCGGCGCGGCCCGGCATCGGAACTTCGGAAGCCGGGCCGGCGGGCCGGGGGAGGGCCGGGCTACACTTTAGTCACAAGTCCGACTGCCGGAGGAGAGTGACCGTACGGTGACCTGTGGCATCTCTTCAAAGGCATTTCTTCAAAGTGTTCAACCACAAACTTTCATGGCATCTCCCACTCAGTTTCAACTTGGGCCCGGACTGATATCACTTTATTGAATCAGCATGATCTAGTTAGAGCATGTTGCGGGTCTGCCTTACTCATTCTGAGCCTCCAAGGCCATTCACTTGGAACTTCCGTACTTTGACTGGATGAGGGCGAACAGGGCTCGCAGGCCCATGGCCTCTCCTCCTTCCGGCCTGCCCGGCCTGGACGCCGTGTTGAAGGCCATGAAGTCCATGTGGACCCAGTCCGTTCCCGCCGTGACAAACTTCTGGAGGTAGAGAGCTGCTGTAATCGCTCCCCCGTATCCGCTCCCCTCAGCCACGTTCTTCATGTCGGCGATCCTGGAGGCAAGGGACTTGGCGTATCCCTTGAAGAGGGGTAAGCGCCATACCAGGTCGTTCTCCTTCTCGCTCAAGGAGCAGAGCTCGGACCCGAGCTCCTCGTTGTTGCAGAACACAGCTGGGACGTCTGTTCCCAGGGCCACACGTCCTGCTCCCGTCAGGGTAGCGGCGTCGATGAGCAGCTCAGGCTTCTCCTCACACGCAGCGACGAGCGCATCAGCCATCACCAGCCGGCCCTCCGCGTCGGTATTGCCGATCTCAGTCGTCATGCCGTTCCTGGCCACCAGGATGTCACCAGGGCGGAAGGAGACGGCATCCACGTTGTTTTCAGCAGCAGCGATCAGGACTCGGAGCCTCACGTTCAGTTTGAGCCGCATGATCATGTGGGCGAGGCCAAGGACAAGCGCCGAACCTCCCATGTCCTTCTTCATCTGCCGCATCCCCGACGCCGGCTTGATGTCCAGCCCTCCCGTGTCGAACGTGATGCCTTTCCCCACCAGCGTCACCTTGGGGTCACTCTCCTTCCCCCACCGCAGGTCGATCAGTCTTGGCGCGTGCTTCCCTGGGGGCGTCGCCCGTCCCACGGCATGGATCTGCGGGTAGTTCTGTCGCAGCAGGTCGTCTCCTACCACCGCCGTGACCTTCCCGCCGTACATGGACGCGAGCTTCCTCGCCGCACTCTCGAGGTCGCCGGGTGCCATGTCCTCAGCAGGAGTGCTGATGAGATCTCGGGTCAGGAAGATGGCGCTGGCTGCCGTCAGGACGTAGTCCTCGTTGCATCCTGAGGGCCACACCAGCTTCTCGAAGCCAAGCTTCTCCTCTCCCTCGCTCTCCTTCCTCTTCTTCGACTTGTACACGTCGAACTTGTAACATCCCAGCGCCCATGCCAGAGCGATCTTATCGTCCTCAACCCCGGCGGAGGAGACGATCTTGTAAGGTCCTGACCCCCTGGGCAGGGCGGAGGGGAGCCCGGCGAAGGAGAGCCATTCTCCGAAGCCATCATCGCCCACTATCACAATCACCTTCCTGCCCAAGCATTTCAGCGCCAATTGGTCCGCATCTCGTACCAACGACGTTCACTCACTCAATGGAGAGGTCGGGATTCGGGATCACGATATGCTTGCCAACGTCGGCCTCGCTCGCAGTAAACTGGACAAGGGGGAGGAGGAGGAGGAGGAGGAGGAGGAGGAGAGGGAGAGAGAGGGGGGGGGGGGGGGGGAAAAGGAGGCGTCGAGGAGGGAGTGGGGAAGGCAGCGCGACAACCCACCTGGATAAGGGAGTGCCTCTTCTCTCTATTTTCATTCAGATTGTTGTCACGGTTGAAAGTTATCGTCCCGCTAATAGGTTAGCAATGAATCTCCGGTTTTGGGGTATCACACCGTGGACCGGCATGATCGCAGAAATGCCTCCCGGCAGTGCTCCCACTAAGGGCGCGGCGGACCCTTA